TGGCCCGGGCCATGTGCTTTTCTGATCCAAAATCATCGTCACGGTTTAAAACTGGAATGTACTTAATTGCCATCTTTTGCTGATAACATAGTCTGGTATCGCGGTTCATTGTAGTCTTGATATTCGCATCAAGGTCAAATATCGTTTCGGCTGCGCTTGCTACAGGTACACGATCCCTATTTCTTGATTTCGCGGTTTTTTTTTGTGGTGTTAGTTACAAATTCAAAATCTTTAGTCATAATTGTTTCTTGGCTTTCTATAGCTAGCTTTAGTTCGGCAACTGTTTTTCTTAGCAGTTCGATTTCTTTAGCGAGGCTTTCTCTTCGCTTGTTTGTTTGGTTAGTATTTGAATTCGTTGTAGAATTTTGGCGGTAGTTCTCGCGTTTTCGAATTTCGTTCTGTTTCTATATCGCTTCTAATACCTGCTTTAGACTAATTTCGCTGTCTTCACTTGTTGATACTTTAGACATTTTCTTTTGAAAATTGCTACTTCGTTGAGTCTTTGCTGTCAAAGCTAGAACGTCTATATTGAACAAAAGAATCAAACTTTACCCGGTTGTGAGTTTGTCGTTGAGGATGACCCGAAACCCAAGTTGAATCCTTTTCTACGTAAGTAGGATATCTCGTTTTCCTAACGAGTACTTTTCGCAGTCCGGGCAGTGATCGGCAAAATGTCACGTAAAATTTACGATAAACTTATCTTGACCGTGTTTTTATAATTTTCTGGACTTTTATTAAGTACCATATTACAATGAAGTTCAAATCACGGCCAAACTGTACACAAGATTAGACTCAAGACTAAAAAGACTGTTCTTGGTCGAATGCTTGCATCTTTTATAGGTTGAGTTTGTTGGCGTTGAGGGGAAGGGGCGGATCCTAATTGCCCTTCGTAATGGGGAAAATGTAATGTTGGGCCATATGCAGAGGTCAAGTCAAAACCTAACGGTCCGCTGTTGGGTAGTGTGGAATGACGTGGATTTGAGTATGGTTGTTGTCACACCTAGGATGTCGTTTCGCGGACTACGTGACCAACACATGTGCTTCAACCCTGGAACTTTCTCTACGGCCATGGGCCACTGTAGCGTACGATTTTGTTAACATCCGAATCAATTGAATTTTTATAAATGTTTAAAGTTAACTTTTGTCAGTGAAAGTAAGATCTTGTCCTTAACGGCACCTTCAATGTTCTTATTTTCCAAAATTATCGGAAAACCGTACCTACGGTCGAAGATAATCTATTTTTGTATAAGTTGGCATAAAAACTTTCTACTTTGCAAAATCCAATCACATTTGCCACCATTCCACTATTTTGAAATTTTATATAAGAAAAAAAAAAGATATGAACACAGAGTCAAGATGTTGCTGAAAGGTCTCTACAAATATCTTCATCCTTCACCGAAAATTTGTAGGCAAACAAAATGTTAGACTTATCGTAATGTTCTAGGCCTCGAGAGTTGCATATTTATTTAAATCTTACTTTGCATGTTAATTTTCAAGAAAACTTGTTTGATTATTTTCTAAATTTTCAGTAATGAACCATTGCAACGATCGTGGATGTGAGGCATATTGTGGCGATTCTGTTCATATTTTGTTACACGAACAATGTGGCGCTGTTCAAATCGGAGGAGTGAGTCTTAGATCGTTGCGCAACAATGACGATGGCACTTTCGATCTTTCTGAACTGCGATCAAAGCTGCGCCATGACAGAAATTACGAGCCCATTTCTAAGCTGGTAATTGTGGAAAATACAATTAATGGAAAAATTGTTCCTCTAAGCTGGATTAAGGAATTAGTATCGCTGTGCAAAGAACATAACTTGAAGTTGCACATGGACGGATCCAGGCTATGGAATGCAAGCGTGGGATCAGGAATATCCGGGAAGGAAATTGTTTCGGGCTTCGATTCAGTAACATTCTGTCTCAGCAAAGGCCTAGGTATATATTCTTTTACTATTTCTATGTTTAGAACGATATTTTCTATGTGTTCCTTTAACAACAATTCTCTTTTCTCACATATTTCATTTAACATCCTTTAACAATTTGAATGTTAATTATGTCTCACATAAATTGATTGGAATACGATTACATTTTTTAGATATATTTTACTTTCTTATTTTTTCTTTTTTTTTTAACAAAAACTAACATAACTTAAGAAAGCATATCTATATTATCTTAACAACTATGGACTAATTAGCATTGCAAAAAAGCAAATTTGGGCCAATAGTTCCTCAATTGTTCAGTTATAGTATTTAATGATGTACATTTTCCTTGGACGAAGTAAAAACGCGTTTACTCATAATCTTAATTTGCTTTTAATGTCAATCGAACAAAACGTGTGCTATTTGAATCTGCACACCTTTCTCAACCCTACGATATCGTTAATTTTACACTTCTGTATTTTCTACAATTTGCAAGAAACATACCTTCTGCTATTTCTTCTTTGGGAGATTTATTTTTCAAAGGATTATATGTACACGATATATATGTCGAGTCACGATCCGAGTCCGGGCTCGAGTCGCTATCACTGTGAGGGCTTGGGATAGGCAATGACTCTTCATTGAAGCTATCCATTTTCTTACAGCACGGGAGTGATTTTTATTGACACAAATAAACAGTTTACAAAGTTGACGCAAACCCACAGCGATCACACACTCGCGACACTAGTGACAATAGCCTCAGGATTCGATAACGAATCCACGGTCAACGGGATGTTAGATATACTCGCCCAACAAGCGGACTCAAACGTGTAATACTCTCAGGTCGTAGGGCACATATATATAACGAATTCGTTCTAAAACAGCGTGAGAATTGGGGAAGTCCCGTACAACGAATTGGTGAAATTGGAGAAATCCATACACAAAGCAACGTAGCAAGAATTTTTACGCGCGCGTCTTGTCATTCGATATTTCTCAATCGACCAGCGTGATGTGTCGCTTCAGATTTCCGTGTGGAATTTTTCAACATCGACATTTTGTATCCGTTTTTAAATCTTGGGACATCAATCGTTTACTCTCGATCATTTTTTCGCTGTGGGGTAGTAGCAACTTCAATATTTTCAGATAAAAAGTTGGTGACATTTTTGTAACGCGAATAATATTAATATCGAATGATTTAAATTAATTATCGATTATTTTAATCAACATATTTCTGTTAGTTACGAAAAAAACAGCATATGTACTTTTCTTAACTGCTATAATTTAACCACCGTTTTTCCATTAATTTTTCGTTTCATATAACGCGCTTTCGCGTGACATTTTTTCGTAACTTAATTACCCTGTTCTGCGCGGGAGATATTTGTATATAATTATACGCTATAGAGGTGAAAAGATCTGACATTTCTAGACATGCTAATGAGCATTTCTAGGGCCGGCACTACCCAGCGCCCTCTTCCCGGAGGGCGCAGAGCGCTTATGAAGGTTTCCTCCACGAAAAAAACAAAACGGCCACCAATCCAATCGAGTCCGAGGCTCCATCAGATGAGTCACTTCATATCTGTCCCCATTATACGATGACTCATCCATATTAGTAATTGATAAAGTTTTATATCAGTGAGATTTCGGATTGTAATCGCAGAATTGTGATAGCTCCGCTAATTAAATTGCAGGAGAAAGTAAAGTAAAAACGAAATTATTTTCAAGTTTGAGGTGAAACAAAAAATGAATATTTTATAACTTGGACAATTAACATATTGAAATGTATTAACTATGGATAATTAATCAGATAAAAATAAAGTAGAGTAATAAATTAATATGTTATAACCATGAAAACATTATCGGTTTTTGGGATTAATTTCTGCTTTCAGTGTATTAACACGTTCACTGTTCTGTGCACTGTACATGTATGATCATACGCATATGCATCATATTTGATGCACGCACGCGATCTATGTTCAGTGAGTTGAATTATTTCGCATATGTCAAATGAGATAAATTATTTCGCATATTTTCTTTCCAAGCATTGTAAACGTATGAGGCTTTTTACAAATTGATTAAGTACTCTTGTTTAACTCTCTTCTCTTTCTTTTTTACATGCGTTTTCATCATATTTTGTCAAATTACCAAACTGCAGAATGTACTGGAACAAACTGCAACTGCAGAACCGTACTATGTCGTTAATTCAGTTTTGATCAAAATGGATTAGACGCTTATTCTCAGTTGGTATTCAAGTAAACAAAGATAGGAGCGACAAAAAGAAAAATGAAACAAGGAGCAGTAATAGTTACATAATATACAATACAAAAGCTAAATTTAATGCAATTACAAATGTTCTATAATTAAAAACACGATTGAAACAACACGTAAAGCTCTATATAAAGATGTCTTGACACAAAATAAATAAATTACAGAATAAATCGATCTTATTCGTAAATATATTGGCTAGTTTCAATATTCGATTAATTGGATCATTTGAACTATATTTAGATTTTACGGCAGTGGAATAAAATATGTGACTTTTTCTAAAAGTTTCTGAACGAAAATACAAATAAATTAGTTATAATAATTGCAGAAGATGGGACTTTGCTATTTATAATTTGAAATAAAAAAGAAAGACCATTGACAATTCTGCGTTCAAGTAATGAGATCAAATTAAGCATATTTAACAATGGTTTATAGTTGCATAGATAGCATAAAGTTGTTTAAGCGAAAAGCTATTTTTCTAAGAAATTTATGCTGCACTCCCTCAATCATCAGGTTGTGTTTTAACAATTAAGAAAGCCATTAACAATTGAGAAGCATACTCTAATTGACTATACTATAATTAAAGGAACTAGCTAAAAATACAATGACTCAATAGCAGCAATGTATTTAAAATTAGTAGAAAAATGAACGATAAAACCTAACAATTTAAGAATAGTGCACACAATGTTATAACAATTTATTCGGTCTTTACCAGCCTCAACCGGCCTTTCAGAACGAGGCACATTTGTAAGGACGAAATTACCTTTTAATTTCTGCATTTTCTTATTGGCACTGCATTCACGTCTTTACGGTAATGAAGAGCACACGATGAAAACGCTCACTTTGGTTTTCCATTTTTAATACAACGAAACAAACAAAAACGACTTGGCACATGCAAAATCAATTCTGTTTTTAAATGAAGTTTGAAGTATTATTTGTGAAAACGTGTAATGATTTTATAGGTTAGGTCGAAGTTGGCTGCTTAAAGATACGACCAAAGACATCCAGACGGAAGAAACGAAATTACTTTCCGAACAATGCGATATTTCACGTATCCTTGAACAGTCATATTGTCGGTATCTTCAGCTCGGCGACTTCGAGTCTGATATCGACTTTCCAAACATTCATACACGCACGCTCAGTGATAAATTATTGTAAGGCTAAATAGCGGCAAGCTATCCGCCATAATAACATTACGAAAATGCGTTGCCACTAAGACATTACTTTTTCGCGTGGATACAACGTAGAAATATACTGATTGTAGATTTACATTACTTCCAACTCAAGGTGCTGATCTTTCTTATAAACGCAAGATTGACACGTATAGAAAATTGAATATATTCCAACATGAACTACATTGAATTTATACAGATACCAATCTTGTGTATATTTATAATTCTAACTTCATTACATTATTACGAATTACTTACTAATTCCCCTTAATTTTAACGCATGCATTACGAATGCTTTGTATTAATTTCTAGAACATACATTAATCCCTTAAAAATGGGGTGAGAAGTCGTTCGAACAATATACGAACTGTGTGCACATACATACTTATCATTTATCAACAGCGGATAATGCAATAATAACGACGTGTAAATTTAACAAAAGTAAATTTGGATGAAATTTTATAAATGGCACGATCAATCTTTCACCGATTCCCCGCCTCTTGATTAAAGTTGACCGGCCGACCTCGATCAGATATTCTTCTTGTTTATCCTGTGTGTATTGTTTTCTGAGCGCGGCAAAACTCTTCTTAAATGATTATTTTTTCTCCCGCAGCGTGGCCTTAGTAGGTATGGGCATACTGCTAGTCACAACGCATAGGGCCGCATGTGACACTTTATCTTAGCTATTTTCTTGATAGCTCAGCGCAGATGCCCATATTGGTGCAGCGTGAAGTACTACCGACTCCCATCCCCATACTACCCATAGTACAGCATCCTAATAAAGCTGTTGGGACCGTTTACGTTCGACAACAGGTTTCTAATGACGCTAACGAACGCCTCTGCCTTGCCGCACACCTGCTCGGAATGAAGAGAATACGTCCTAGCGTTGTCCTATGAAACATCAGAATATTTCACTGTGCTTTTGGTTTGTTTTTTTCGTCAAACTATTTCATCATTCTCGGGACACGCTTCCCTGTCATCATATCAAACATCAAAATATTTCACTGTACTTTTGATTTGTTTTTCCGTTTATTCTATTTTAGCATTTTCGAGACGTGCTTCCCCGTCAACAATATCATTTCAGTCTTATTTGGTGCCAGATGAAGGCCCGTGTCCACGCACCATTCTGTAATGACCTTCGTGGCTTCCCCAACCCTATCGCCGATGTCTTGCAGCTTTCTGATCGCAATAACTCGGGCCAAGTCATCGAAAGCTACGGCGTCCAAACCCTTTACATGCTCCAGGCCATTGTAAATGTTATTTCGCGAGAGTGGGCCCACGTAGTCCCATTTTTCTTTCCACGATTCTTAAGTTAGAAGAAAAAACAGCAGTACTTCCCAGAGCCATCTACAATAGCAGTAGCGCTATTACCACTTGCCTCTCACTTCACTTGTATTTAGTATTCTTAATTGTTGCGATTAAGTGAAGTTATTTTGCTGTTTTCGTTTTCCATCAATGCTTCATAATGCTGCTACGATTACTT